TAGTGAACCTGGTATACATTTCTTAGATAGTTTCTCCATCCTTCATGGTAAAATTCTCATATTGAGAATACAGCAGTGTTCCTCTTGACCTCTTCACCTGAGGTGTTCCTTCATGAGCCACTTGTAAAGTGTCCCAAATCTCCTTGGCAGTAGTACAGCCTTGAATCCTGCTGTACTCATCAGGACCAAGTCCACACACTAACCATTTCTTGGCTTTTGCATTTTTCTCCCATTTCCTTAGATCTTCAGCAGTACAATCTACTCTTGTCTTTGGAACATCCACTCCTTCAGCATTCTTCTTGGTTGTGGCTAAAGGACCATCAGTGATGATATCCCAAAGCTCATAGTCTTCGCCCATTATATGGTCCCTCATTCTGTTTTTCCACCAGGAGTAGTAGAGACCATTGAAGAGAGGAGGCCTGGCAGTGGATTGCCCTTCCCAGTTCCCAGGTGGTGCACTCATGTTGATCTTTTCCTAAGGTGTTAACCTCTTCAAGGATAACCTGCTCTGATACCAATTGATGTTATAAACGTCAATACCACACAAGAGGGGGGGTGATTTGTGTGGTACCTAATTTTCGCGTTAGAAGAACCTGGTTCTTCTAAGTGTTCTAACTACAGCAGTTTGCGGAATAATAAATGCTGAAAGTAAAGTGCACAGAGATTTTTACATGGAAAACACCTGGCTCAAAAGGTGAAAAAACCACGACCTACTACTCAGTAGGATTTTCCCAAACTCCTCTAAAATCACTGAGCCAAAAACTGCATTTACAAAACTCTTTGTAAACCTAAGGATTAACTCTAATCCCAGTGTAGCACACAGCCTCAACTGTTGCGACACTTTCAAGTTAACTCTAACTTGAATGCGCAATATACCTATTACAATTGCTTCTATGAAAGCTGAAAGGTACAATATGAAAACCTACTACAATTGAACTAGACTTAGAATAAACACAATGATGAAACTGGTTCTTCTATCTTAGTTCATGTAGCTTCAGACGTGCACACTTGTATCTCGCATACATTGCTTGCAAATCAGACTTGATCTTTTTGCTCTCAAATATGCTTAACTTCTGCTTATGTGCAACCACCTGTAAAAGAGAACAATCGTTATTTTTATAGAGTTAGTAATCAGAGTTTGATAAGAACTCGAATTGTGGATCCTTTGACAATTCGAGTCCAAGAACAACTCTAACTCCTAATCCATATCCTTGATCCGGATATAATTCTCTTTTCATAAGGAGACTTCAACTCCTTATCCTGTATGCAATCTTTTCGATCAATTCAGAAGATATTGTTGCTGATCCTTGAGACTTATCTTCTTCACACGTATGTCACATGTGCAAGAATATCAACACGGCGTCTCACATGATGGACCTGGTTCATGACTGAGTTCATTTTGTCAATCTTCAAAACTTCATCTGAACTTGGGCCAACATAAGACAAGATGTAGTCCATACAGAGATTGAGCATAAGGAAAATGAATTCCAGGTAGCTAAATCAAAAGGAAAGCAGGTGCAAAGTCCCAAGGTGAAAACCTCAATAAGAAACGGTCTGTCTGATGAGAATATTGAATCCATCCTACACCAGAACAAATTTAATGCTCTGAGAATTCAGGAAAGGGAGGATGCTAGTCTGGCATCTAAAGAAGGAAGAGTGCCTCTGATTCATCCCCCATGATTCTTGGCTCATGAAATATTAGAGGGCTTAATAAGCCCTATAAGCAGAAAGAACTCAAGGCTTTTCTGCAAAAGAATAAAATTACTGTGGTAGGATGCCTTGAGACCAAAGTGAAAAAGTGGAATGAAAAAAGAGTTAAAAGGAAGATTGGGACTGAATGGGAAGTATTTTCAAATTATTCATATGCTCCTAACGGGATATATTGTGAAAGACACAATAATACAAGCTGGAGCTCAAATTGTGTACTATGAAGTTAGGGACAGAAACTCAACATTTAATTGTTGGCTAACTTTTGTCTATAGATATAATACTGCTGCAGAGAGACAGGAAATATGGAGTCAACTTAGGCAGATAAATAGTACTATGGTGGAGGCTTGGCTGATTCTAGGAGACTTTAATACTATGTTATCTGTTAATGATAGAATTTATGAAAATCCTGTTAGCCAAAGTGAAGTGGTTGATTTCCAAGCTTGTGTTGAGGATACTGGTCTGGGATTGTTGAATAGAAAGGGATGTCAGTGGCCTTGGTGCAATAAAAGAGATGCTACTGAAGAATCTACAGCAATATTGATTCGGCATTGGGGAATTCTTGCTGGTTCATGCAGTATAGTTATGTAGAGGTTGTATATGATAATTATGGGGTATCTGACCATTCACCCATATTCTTATGTACCGAGGTAACCAGAAATTACTTACCAAAGACATTTAGGCTTCTTACTGTGCTTTTGCAGGAGGAAGAATTCATCAAGATAGTACAAGAGGTGTGTGCTCAAAAGATTACTGGATACACTATGTATTCAGTTTGGCAAAAACTGCAGATTCTGGGAAGCAGAGAAAAAGGGATGAATGGAGCCTATAATTCAGTGGACAAAAGGATTGAAATACTCAAAGATCAGCTGCAGAAAGTGCAAAAGGGGATAGATAATGATCTGTTCAATAATACTCTGATCTTGGAGGAGAAAGAGTTGTTGATGCAAGTAGAAAAATGGGAAGGTATTCAAGAGAAGGTATACAGGAAGAAATCAAGGGCAGTGTGGATTGCAGCAAGAGACTCCAACACAAAGTTTTTCCATGCCTATTTGAAGGCAAGGCAGGCTAGAAAAAGAATCTCTACCATCTGTAATGAGCTTGGGCAAAAATTGACTGATCCTATATTAGTTGAGCAAGAGTTCACATCTTTCTTTGAAGGCTTGCTAGGAACAAGGGCTATTGAATTACCCTGCCTTGATGTGAACATTGCTAGGAATGGTCCTTGCTTGAGAGAGCAACAACAAGACCTGATCAAGAGTATATCTGAGATTGAGATTATACAAGGGCTTAAGGATTTGCCGAGTGATTGGCATTGATAGGTTCCCAGTAGAGTTCTTCAAGAAATACATGCATATAGTTGGAAGAGGTGATAAAGGCAGTCAAGGAGTTCTTTGAATCAGGAAAGCTATTGAAGAATGTATACAGTACAACTATTACATTGGTACCAAAGGTGGCCAGCCCTTCTTTTGTCAAAGAATTTCGACCTATAGCATGTTGTACCCACTATCTATAAACTCATTGCCAGAATCCTTACATCAAGACTGAAAGCAGTGGTGGATTTCATTGTTGGACCAGCTCAGTCAGCATTCATATAAGGAAGAAGTATTCTGGATAATGTTATCATTGCCCGTGAATTGGTGAAGGGGTACACCAAAAAAGGGATTTCACCTAGATGCATTATAAAAGTGGACATAAGAAAGGCTTATGACTCTGTTGAATGGCCATTCTTACATATGGTATTGCTGGAATATGGGGTACCTACTAAGATGGTGCAGTGGATTATGGAATGTGTAACAAATGTGAATTATTCTATTATGATCAATGGTGGACTCACAAACAGATTTCAAGCAAGGAAGGGACTGAGACAAGGGGATCTATGTCCCCATATCTGTTTGTCCTAGTGATGGAATATCTGAGTAGAACATTGAAGACTCTCAAGAACATGTCTGACTTCAATTTCCATCCAAGATGTGCCAAGATGAATCTTACTCATATTTGTTTTGCAGATGATCTGATTATGTGCTGCAGAGCTGACAAGATCTCCATCCAACTATTATTGGACAAATTCAACCACTTCTCAAAGGTGACAGGACTCATGGCTAACTTGGATAAAAGCTCTATCTATGTAGCTGGAGTTACTCAGGGGTTCAAAGAAATGATCTGTACTGATTATCAATTCAAACTGGAATCTTTACCATTCAAGTATTTGGGAGTGCCTTTATCTTCAAGAAAGTTGCCAATACAACAATGTATGACATTAGTGGAGAAGATTACAAACAGGATAAAATACTGGACAAAGCTCCTATCCTATGGTGGCAGATTACAACTGATAATGAGTGTATTATTTGAAATGCAAACATACTGGGGACAGGTGTTTTTGCTACCAAAGAAGATTATACAATTAGTGAATTTTATGTGTAGAACATTTTTGTGGACAGGAAGTCAAAATCCTTCAAAGAGAGCATTGATATCCTGAGACAGAATATGCATGCCTATGTCAGCTGGAGGTCTAGATGTTATTAACTTTGTATGGTGGAACAAAGCAGCAATATGTAAGCTAATGTGGGCAATACATACAAAAAAGGATGCTCTTTAGATAAAATGGATTTTAGTGTATATAAAGAAAAAGGATTTCAATATAATGAGTACTCCTAGCCAAGCCTGCTGGTTGGTAAGGAAGGTGTTTGACATCAGAGAATGGTATCTGAATATTGAAACTTTTGCCAACATCAACAAGTTCTGAAGAAAAGGGCAATTCAGTATACAGAAGATGTACACCTTATCGAGACCTCAGTATCCAAAGGTTGGGTGGAAGGCCTTAATATTGGGTACAACTATACCTAGACATAACTTTATCTTATGGCTAGCAATAAACCATAGACTCACTATTGTGGATAGGCTGGCAGCATGGGGATACAGGTTGATACTGGATGTGTCTTATGCAAGAGTGGAGAGAATAAAACAATGGCTCACTTATTCTTTGAATGCTAATATTCAAGGAGTATATGGAGTACATTACTTAACTGGATGGGAGAAAGTCATCAAATTGGTTTATGGGAAGAGGAAGTCTTATGGTTGAGTATAAGAACAAAAAATGGTAGACCTCATAATAGTATTCTGGCCTTTCTGTTTGCAGCAGTAATTTACCATACTTGGATAGAAAGGAACATGCGCAGATTTCAGGGGAAAGAGATAGATATGAAGAAGAAGATACGGGACATTGTTCTTCAACTACATATCAAAGGACAACAGAAGATAAAATGGAAGAAGCTTTTAGTTAGAGTGAATAGTTTTCCTCCATGAAGTTAAGTGTAGTAGAGGAACTATTAAGTTTGTAAATGTTTCTTTTCTGGATATTTTGATGTTTTTTTTAGTCTAACTCTTTAGTCCAAAGGAGTTAAAGGTGCTGTAAACTTTCGTTACTGGTTAAATAAAAGTTTTGATATTTGACCCAAAAAAAACTCCAACTTGAAACCACTCCCAAATTTAAATTGGCAATTTTTTACTTTTTTACTTTTGTTTTTTATTTGAAATAATTTTAAAAACACCAATTGTGTTGGAGCTTTGTCCTAAAAATCTATACTTGGCGTCTTATGGTTATATCACTTAGCATCATATAATTATTTACTTCTCTTTTGTATGTGTGTGTGTATGTATATTTATAGGTTATATGTGTATCCATGTTATGTTTTGATGATCTAACAAACTTACTATTAAGAACCAGATAAGGAAACCTATTACACATCCCCAAGAACTTAAGATCAACAAGTTTCTAATTGGGGACACAATTCAACTCTTCAGAGTCAAAGGAATAACATAAGGAACAGTTGAGGGAACAGGTCCCTATCAATTCCCGAGGTAACTGTACAAGTCAACTCCCCCAGCCGTAAAGTTGCTGCCTGCACACGCTATAGTGCAGAAACAATGCATCAGTTAACTTTATGGGGAATGTGCTTCACCTAACATGCTTGCATCATCCAAGTGATGTCACAAAGGAACACCAGAAGGAACAACTGAGGGAACAGGTCCCTACCAGTTCCCGAGGTGACTGTACAAGTTAACTCCCCCAGCTGTAAAGTTGCTGCCTGCACACGCTACAATGCACAAACAGTGTAGCAGTTAACTTTATGGGGAATGCCCTTCGCCTAACATGCTTGCATCATCCAAGTGATGTCACAAATGAGATATTAACATCAAGCAAAGGTAAAACAAATCACTTGCACATTCAAGAACTTATCAAGCATTCTCTCAAGTGTGTGTCCATCTTGCAAGTGATTCTCAAGGGCATCAAGAACAAAGAACAACATAGCAATAGATCAATTCCCTATATTGCATTATTATATGTCCTTAGTTGTGTTGTATCTTTGTTGAAGTTCTTACTTGTAATTCCTACTTAGCTTACTTAGAAGCATTGTGTAGGAAACCCTTTGTAAATCATAAACCCTTGTATTTGTGTTTTGGCTAGAGTTAGTCGAGTTGTGAAGTCTTTTTAATAGAGTTATTACGAAGTGGATTGTAATAGTGTTGTTACAAGTTAGTGAGTGATTAAGTCTTTGTAGTAGAATTATTACAAAGTGGCTTGTAATAGTGTAGTTACAAGTTAGTGAGGGATTAAGAGGTTAATTCCTAGGTTACAATAGATTTTAATCTAAAGATAGCTGAGTAGTGAAGTTGAAATCCTACAAGGGTAAGTCGTGGTTTTTAATCCCGTGGAGCTGGGAATTTTCCACGTAAAATTCTTTTGTGTCATTTACTTACTGCAGTGTGCGTGTGTTATGTTGAACCTGATAGAGAACCTGGTTCTCTATAGAGTTTGGTGGACTCTTAAATTTTATCAATTGGTATCAGAGCTGGTTCTTTCTAAAAGGCTAACACCTAGAAATGATCTATATGGATGCTACACCAAACTTCGAGGAAAGTCAATCAACCGACAGACCACCAAGATTTCAGAAAATGGTTTGTAAAAATGGAGGCACTCCCATGAAGGGCAGCTTTAGCAGAAACACTAAAGGATACGATTGTTGCCACAAGTGCAAAAAGCCAGGACATTTCATCAAATATTATCCTCTCCACAATCAGGACCATTACAAACACAATGCTGACAAGATGGTTAAGAGGAACCCGGTCCCCCATAGAAAGTTCAAGAGAAGATATGTCATTGATAATATTGTAAAGCAAGCTCTGGATGCCTGGGGAGATTCCTCTAGTGAATCTTAGGGTGATGATGAACAGTCAGACACCTCCATGATGGCCGTTGAAAGCAAAGCTACAAAATACAATTCCATATTTGCATTAATGGCAAAATTTGATGAGGATGAAGAAGAAGATGATGATGAGGTAAACTTCTTAGATGTTCAAAGAAATCTAAAATATTATTCTCCGAAAAAACTTATGTCTTTGGAGAATGTTTTAATTGATGCGTATCATAGTCTTATAAATGATAAAGATGCCTTAACTATGGAATTGGGAGAAGCAGAACAATCGAGAAAAGATCTAGTAGTTGTGGTGGTAGACTTAGAGGAAACCATTGAGAGTTTGAAGAAAGAAAAAGACGCCTTAACTGAAAAAATTGCAAACATAGGACAAGAGAGAGATGATCGAGTGGTTGTTGTGGTCAATCTAAAAGAGACCATTCAGTGTGTTAGAAAGGAGAAAGTGGTTTTAACTGAGAAGGTTGCTAACATTGAGCATGAGAGAGATGACTTATTAGTGGTAGTTGTAGACCTAAAGGAAATAATTGAGGGACTAAAAAGGGAAAGTAGGCCTAGGAACACTTAAAAAAGAAAGGAAGTTGTAAGCGAAGCACACCTTAGTCTTGAAAATGAGTTAAAATTGGTGAAATCTAGTCTGTGTGCAGAGGTTGAGAAAAACAGACAACTTCAGGAAGACCTAGGAAAAGTGAAGAGTGACCTAGAAAAAGCACTTAAGTGGACCTGGTCCTCTAATGTAATCACTGCTATGTATACAAACAGTCGGGGAAATAGGCAAGAAATCGGGTTCCAAAGGGAAAAGACTCCCTACAACCCTCATAGCAAGTACGTTACTGTATCTGACAATTGGCGTTGCACTCACTGTGGCAATACTGGGCACTTTAAGGAAACCTGTAAGGCCAGATTCCAATTTCAACAGAAAAACAAAGTTTTTGCTGAAAATGTAACTACTGCTAGGGAACCTGGTCCTACACATAAAAAACTTATAATGCATGCTTGGATCAAAAGAGTCGTAATTCACCCCTTTCCTCATTACAAGGGACCCAAACTTGTTTGGGTTGCTAAATCTAACCCTTGATTTACTTGTGCAGGGAACAGTGAAAGGG